TGCATTAGTTGAACATGCTGATGAAAGATGCACCTGGGGCTTTTTGGTCCATCTGCCCTAATATTTCATCTCTGAGTTCTCTGGTTCACACTCAGGAGGTTCATCCCTGTCCTATTCAGGGCTAAGTTTGAGTCCCTAGATGCTACTTGAATTAGACTACATGTATTAGCATGTTAATATAATATTTAATATATAAAGGAGCCATTGGCAGACATTATACATTTATACTTGCACTGGAATAGTGAGGAAAATAAATTTTTTCTTGCTACAACACATATGGTTCCACTTTCAGGGTTCTGTCCGTCTCTCGGGTTAATGACATCCCACCATATGCCCAAGAGCAAAGAGTGATGGAACTGACATGCTGCTCAAACGGACTGAAACAAGCTGAATCGTGTGTCCTCGGCCATAAAATGCCATTCAAGTGACCCCATAAGCTGACATCTGCTCACATATTGGAGACATTTGGGGCCAAGTTGCCCATTTGTTTCTTTCTGATCTAAATGTAAATATTATACATGAAAACATTTACAAGTACAGTCTTCTTTCTTTTCAGAGGCTGGGGGAGGGCCAGGTCAGCTGGGTGCAGGTTACAGCCTTATTTTTAAGGTTGACTTGGTGATACTTTCAATGTGTCTTAATAAATTACATGCTTTGTTTCAAAATAATTAAGTCCTTGTAATTGACATGAAAAGTAGTATGCAAGTTTTTTTTCTCAAAGCGCAAAACAATCCTTTGAAAATATAATGTAATCCTTGCAAGTCAATAGGCCATTCAATCAGTAATTCTGAATCCTGGTTGATCTCTACTTTTATTTGATTAAGTCTCATTACCTTGATAGCCAGTGTTATTCCACAGGGCACGTGGGATATGATAACGATGGAGAGAAGTGTAGAGATGTGCCGTTTCTTCCTTCTTTCTTTCAACAAAGTTGTTTACAAAAAAAAAAAATCTGTCCAGATGATGTCACTGGTGTTCTCTTTTCTGCTTGTTCAAATGTAGCTATTTCTTCACTGACAAATAACAAGATAACATACTAAAAATCCAGAGTTCAAACACTCCTGGTCATTGTGACTTTTTGTTTTTTGCTTACAAGAGAAATCCTGCAATTGAGATTCACAATTTCTATACTAAAACTTAATTTGCATTTTTAATACCTTTCTATGTTCATCTCATTAGCATCATATGTTCAAAGAAGAAAATGTGGCAGTGTTGAGTGACACAAAGGAAGGATACTGAAAGAAAAATGAAATTTGCAAGAGGGATAAGTTCCCTCATCCTCTCTACTATTTCATGAGGGCATTGTGGTTTTTATTTGGGCAATGAATTTATGACCAATCTTCTTGTTACTGTTTCTCTGTGGAGAAAACACGATTCTAGAGGAAAATGGCTGGTAACGTGTGATCATAATGCTATATTCTGAGCATCCCATTGGGTGAACTGATTTGGAATCCACATGGTATGATAACTGACCCAAGTATAGACCCTGTTCCCATATAAACTAGTTTAAATGGTTTTACTGTTGTGTATATCTCTCAGAGGTAAACACTGAATAACAAGTAATTAAAGCAACAGAAGGGGCTGACGTTCAACAGGAAAAGGCAAGGGCCTCTCTTTTATAGTAATACGAAAGAAGGAGAAAATATTAGGTGTAGTTGCAATTTGTTTGGTAGTTAGGCATACCAGGTTTCTTCCCTAGGAGAAGGTAATGATATCTATTCAGAGTCAGGGAAAATGTTTGAGGAAAAGAGAAAAGGTTTCCAAATGACTACACGGGAAGAGGAGAGACGGTAGACCAGGAAAGGGACTGCTCAGCAGCACTGAGGATCTTTTTTTTTTTTTTTTTTTTGGTGAGGAAGATTCACCCTGAGCTAACATCCGTTGCCAATCTTCCTCTTTTTTTTTTTGTTTTGCTTGAGGACGATTAGCCCTGAGCTAACATCGGTGACAATCCTCCTCTACTTTGTATGTGTGATGCCTCCACAGCTTGTCTGATGAGTGGAGTAGGTCCGCGCCAGGGACCTGAACCCGCCAACCCGGGCTGCCAAAGCAGAGCACGTGGAAATTTAACCACTCAGCCACAGGGCTGGCCCTGGCACTGAGGATCTAGATGAGACTGGAGATTGAATTCGTGAGAGACCCAGTCTGCACATATATGTCAATAATTCTGATAGCACTTGGCAACCCAAGTATATACATAAAGAATGTTGACATTTGGATTCATCTAGAAATGGGGTTTCCATTGAAACAAAAGTAAAAGGAGAAAGGAAATTGAGGATACTGATAAGAAGTAAAGGGTCTTAAGTGGAAAGTAAAGGTAGAAAGAATCAGGAGATAAGAACCAGAACACTACTAGTCTATGAGAATGAGTTAATGGAGACATGGGGGAATGGGAGACTGAGTTCAGAAAGTGATGCCTAACCCTGTTGTTGCCTGCCCTACATCTGTTCCCCTCCTGTTTGGGTACCTCAGCTTTTATTTTGGTATTTACCCCTCCCTCATGCAGTCTGTACATGATCGGTAGGTCTAATTCTCCTCCTGGCTCTAGGAGTTTGGATATATGTCTTAGACCTCTGCTATTCAGCACACAGTAATCTAATCAGGAGCCAATGTTCCTAGTTCAGGGGTGAACGTGGGACCCAGTTTGCCTCAGTGAGAGTGAAGAAGGCCTTTTCTGGAAGCTTCTGGGAAGAGACTTGCTCTCTTCTCCTTGATAGTGTGGCACACAGAGTGAAGCCCTGAAAAATACATTATTTGCCACCCTGAAGGTGCCACTCAGGGAGGCAGGGCGCAGATATGCAAAGAAACTGGGTCAAAGAAGATCATATCGGGTCACTGAATCAATCCAGCCCTGAAGTTGGTCCTCTGTATAGGCTTTTCTGTTTCATAAACCAATAAATCCCCTTTACAGTTTAAATCAGCTTTTGTTACCTGCAATAACCAGAGGCTCAAGTGATATAAGTGATGTGTCTGAATTTACAATTTCAGAGATGAAAACATTCCAGATGAGATCTAGATTGCGACATAGAGTGATGGTGAAGTGGAATAGAGTTGAAGGCCAGTGAAGATCAAGTGGTCAAGTATTTGAGAGGCCAGAATGTTGAAGGCTGTCCTTGCCATCTATGATAATAGCAAGATTCTGGGTGAAGCCAAACCATGAGTTAGGTGACAAATCTTCAGAGAAGGAAGCATTGACTGAGATTTCATTGAGCATAGCAATGAAGTGATGGTGGGTATTGCTGAATGGTATCCAGCTGTTTTCCCGTCCTCCTTTCCTCTCTCCTTTCCTTAATGTATGTTGTCAAAATGATTTAAGATGGCTTTCAAAATATGCATAATGTAGCAATATAAAAGAAACAGAAAGAATTATAACGAAAATGGAGGTAAAGGGAATACAAAGCTTGAAAAGATAACACCAAGCCAGGGGTGAAGTCAATACACAAAATACATGCTAGAACATCCAGTAACTTGCTGGTGCTAAGCCACAGTCCAGCTCTTAGTTTTCAATTCACTCATGGTCTCAGTCAATTTTCTCACTATACATGAAGCTTCCACAGCGTTGGGCAGAGGTATCAGTTAATCTCTCCTTTCATTAGTAGTTTATATTATGTGCCCAAGGTCACAGAACCAGTGATAAGGCCCAATTTTGAAAGAAAGCTCCAAATTTTCAGCCCTGCAGGCTTTCCACTAGACCACATTGCCTCTCGAACACAGAGTAATTTCGCGGTAGACATCCTTTTTCCTGGACTGCAGGATCACAGGAAAACCAAAGAGCTACTGGGGTATTTTTGTTCGTGACTCTGAACCCTGGTGACTGAGGATGGAAAAGAGTCTGACAGACAGACCAGGCCCCTGATGGACCATGTCTGGACAGCCTGACCTAGGAGAGGAAGCACTCCTGCCCAGCTGCTGATCTCCAGGGAGGCCCCGTGCTAAGGCAGCAAATGTTCTACATGTCAGGATTAAGGTGGTTTGGCAGAGGCATGAGGCCGGGAAATGCAAAGTGCCAGCCCCTGCCAGACCTGGCCAATTTGTGCCCTTGGTGGCTTGAAAGATAAACATCTGGCCACATCCTGTCAACGAGCAATCTCTGCTCACTGCCTCAGATCACCTCCCTACTCCTGCCCAACCTGTCTCAAACTCAATCCTTGCGAAGTCCAAGCCCCATTTTATCCAAGAACTCGATATTTGAGTGAGAAAAACATCTCCCTGCAGACTGCTTAAAAGATCGGGAATCAAAGCCACCATTTTCCTTCTCATCTATTCATGGATACATTCTTCCACACAAGGAAGGCTTGCTGGGGGAAGCACGGGGGCTTCAGTGTAGCTTCTGAGTTGCTGAGGGGCGTCCAAGGCTGCTTTGAGGTAGGGAGAGAACAAACACAAGTGCTTCGCTGTTTTCTCCCAGTCATATAAATCCTCTTTAGGGACTCTTAGATGGAAAAATTATGGTGATTCAGTGCAGTGGCAACGTCCCGCATTTCTTCAGACGGTTGTTCTTAAACTTCACTGGGATTCCAATTAACTTGGTGAAAGTAAAGGACTTAGTCCATGGCTGAATGCAGATGCACTCATATCATACTATTTCACGTGACTTTTCAGAGAGCAGTCAGGATCCTCTTGAGAAACTCCTGCTTGGATCACCAAAAAGAATTTCAGTTCTATGGGGTGGTTTTGGGCAGCTTGAGCAGTATCAACTAGAAGCTTTAAAAATAGATTGTTGAAAAAGGCAGGAGCCCTCCAAGTGTCCAGAGACTTAGGTTCACGTCCCAGCTCCACCACATGCAAGCTGTGGGACTTTGGGCTCTATATCAGTTTCTTTGGTATGAAATGGGGAGAATAATATTTGCCCTGCTGGTCTAATAGAATGTCAAGGTCAAATTAAAAATAATATGAGATTTTCTATGTAATCTAGAAAGAACAAGATCTGGATAAAAGGAAACAGTATCTGAGCTAATTGAATTGTGAAGTTCATCTATGTCACACATCTCTTACCCTTGCAATATCCCATCCTCCTCGGGGCCAGAGCTGAGTGCTGATCTCCAGCTTCCTTCTAACTGGGTGAGCTGTCAGCGCTTGTGCCAAGCTCTGGACCCTCCTTGCCGATTTCTGCTCTCTTCATTGGATGTGTCCTGAGGCTGTTACTAGAGACTTGCTCTAAAAAGTGACCATTTGGAGATAATAATCAGAAACGTTTTGTTAATGGTTAGATAATAAGTTATGTTCAACATTAGCCATTGATTATTTACAAAGGACGTATATCCATGCTAAGTGCAACAATTGTGAGTTCTCCATCCCTTCCCTCCCAACACACACACACAAATACACACAAGGAAATAAATTGGATCTTCTTGAACCAGGAAAGACAGCAGATGGTTCTTATCCGTCTTCTAAATCACTGCACAGAGGTATGGGCCTGGGTCACAGACCCAAATCTGCGCTGCCCCGTCATATTGGGTCTTATAATTAATGTAAGTTGTTCTACAACTTTCTAGAAAGAATCTCATTTCCATCCTCTCATTAGGACCACATTTAAAAATGGGTGGGGGCAGTTACTTTATATTTTTAAAAGTAAAATCAGGGATAGGAATAATAATTAATATTATTAAATAGGAATGACAATGCTTTCCATTCACATCTTGTGCATAAAGCCGTTTATGTCCACTATCCTGCACATCACTTTGTCAAATGTCGCAGGATACAGGGTACGTTGGCAGCCCTGATGGGCCTCAGGGGGTGAAGAGAAGCCAGCATGAGGGAGGGGGTAGAGGAAGGCAAGGCTCCATCCACTCCGTTTAGACATGAGGTTCTGGAACCCAAAAGTCAATGGGCCAAGGTCCTTCCATCCCCAGGGTGAGAGCAGCCTCCATAGGGAGTAAGAGATTTACGTGATCCATAAGGCAGGGATGAACAGTGACAGAAGGAGCTCTGGGATTTCACGTCTAGACAGGGCGATGGCCAAGGAAGCCAGTGCTCTCCTCCAATTAATCTGAGAATGCTTTGGCAAATTTTGTTCTTTTTTTTCCCCTGTGAGGAAATGGGGAGTTTGTTTTCGCCTGTGACAGAATCCATAACCTTTCGGATATTGTTGAATGGGCAGGCCTAGGCTATTTTTACTTCCCACCTCAGGCCCTGCAGCTGGCTTCTTATTTCCATCCCACTGGTGAAGAGCTGAAGAGGCTGAATGAAAGGGAAGGGGTTAAAACAGGAATGCCTTAGATACTCTTCACAATTTAATCTTGCCTGAAACTCACCAATCCTCCTTGACTTGTGCCCTTGGGTGCCCTGTGGACTTCAGGTCCTGGCAGGCAGCAAGCAGGGAAGTGAGGACAAGCAGAATACTGCTTTATCGATTGTCTTCACGGGCTGTGCCTCGTGCCCTGCACAGACACTCATTAGTCACTTTAGGAATTTTATTAAGTCTTTATTAAACCTTTAACAGCCTTCACTGGAGAATCCAAGTTTTGAGAGCAGAATGGTTTTTTTTTTTCCATGCAAGAAGGAGGGAAAGAAATGTATCTTATGCAGTAAAAGTGAAGAAATCTGAGGAGCCCCATTTAAGTGTTTTCCTCTTTTCCTCTGGAGCCCCCATCTCTTCCTCCGTGGGCAGCAGTAATACCATGACGATGGGGCCAAAAATATTTAAACACATTTTAAAGTTACCACCGAAAGGAGAAAACGGTACATTTACACTCGTCTTTCTCCTCTTAATGGCATTACCAGAGATGCCTTGTCCCCCTTGGGCCATAAATTGAGACATCACTCAACAGTTGTCCTGGCAAATTTCCCCCAGAAAGGCCACTTATGAAGTGACTAATCGCATTGGAGGCTAATTTACTGAACATTTAAAGCCAGTGGGGTGGGGCGGGGGGATTAGGAGACTATGAACCTGGGATATGATCCATTATGTCCCCAGACTGAGGACTCAGGTCTGGCTCATCCCTGCATCCTCTCCAGGGAGACAGGGCCATTTTTCCTCTCCCGTCAAACTACAGAAATCACTGGCTGGTTGGGTGAAGCCACCGTATTAGAAGCTTTAGGCTAAGACACGCAAAAGCCCTGGTCTTTCTGGTCTGGAATGGACATTAACTTCTCCCTGGGCAGCTTTCGTAAGAGCACTGGGGTACACTCGAGGTCGGAGAGGAAATGAAGATTATAAGTGTAATGTAATATTCATCTTCCCGAATTTGGATAACCCAGTGGCTTAAATCAGGGAGACCTTAATTCTAAACCCTACACGGGGCCCTCCTCATATTTCAGAGCTCACCTCCTGGGCCACCCCCTTCTCTTATGTACTTTCTGCTCCTAGAAAGGAGCTTGGTTATAAGGAAAGCTATTAACATTCATGTCCCTCTGGAAGTTTATGTCATAAAGCAATGGGCCTGGCCCTCTTTGGAAGAGGGGAGCGGAAGATGAAGTATCTGGAGAGGTGTGGAGATCACCCCCACCTCTCAGGTGCCAAGTAGTAATGTAGGGCTGACATTCTGCCATATATTTGCTACCCACCTTCATGTGCGGATATATTCTCATCCTTGATGCTGTTTTTGGTTAAAGGGCAGCTATCCAGTAATCTAACTACAATTTTAGAAAGCTCGGTATGCTTATTCAATGATTATGTACATAGCAGCTTTTTATCTCCTGCAAAAGTCTTGGAAGTATTCTAGAATAGAGAGATATCCACTAACAACTCTGGACTTAAAGTGACGTAAAATAAAAGGAACTCAATTAAAGAGAGCATCGCCTAGTAGTCATGCCCTTCACCTGAGACGTCCTAACAGTACTAATGAGATTCGGCTTACTAGAGCAGTCATAAGTCAATATCACACGATGATTCAACAAATCTATGACACTATCTCTTTGGGAACGGATTGCTCTCTCTTTAATTTCTTGCGCTTGAATATTCAGTTTGAGCTGAGGGAAAGTGCAGTATGTTCTGTCCATCAATTCCAGCCACAGAGAAGGGAGAAAAGAAGTGGGGTGTGGGGGAGAGGAAACAGCTAGCTAATGTGCCAGAGAGTCGATGAGTGTAAAGTCACGTACTTGAGTGTTTGCTGCCAAGATGAATTAAAACATGCAGATGCCTTTATGCAGAAGTGACCACATTATGCAAGACAACATAACAAAACTCCTGTACTGGTATTAAAAGGTTCTTTGAATGTGAGTCCTACAAAATGACTAATCCCAAACGAGAAAAATTCTTAAGTATTTCTTAAGAATTCAATTGATTGTGTGAGCATCACAGCCTCTGCCTACCTCCCTTGATTAAAATTCTCAACCTAGTTTTTCTAAAGGCATTTCCGAAGGTGAGCAAAGCTCGTCACAAAGTTTTCGTACCTATATGCTAGAATTAAAAGAGGTTTGTAATGACAAAAATTAAAGTTAATATTATACCGCAGAACATGGGAGTCAACAGAATTAGACAAACACATCAATGAATTAATAATTGTATTTATGGTGGGCAGTGGGAAGAAGGGATTATTTTTACTCGATCTCAAACAATTTTATTTTATTCAGCAAAAACAGTTGTAAAAGACATGATCATGAATAAATTCCTACAAAGCTTAGAGTCTAGAAAAGAGGTACAGATGTCCACAAAGAACGAGAAGGCGTGACAGAAGAGTTTATCTACTGTCAGAGCACAGAACAGGGGGAGCTTACAGCATGGTTTATTGACATTCTACTTTAATTTAAATCATAACCATAAATGTGACACAAAATTGATTTATCAAATGTCAACAAATAAATACTTATTGATTGACTATACCGAAGCTACTTCTAACAGTCACGTGGTTGATCACTAGGCTGTTCAGAGCATGGGCTCTGTTGAGTTTTTGTCTGGTCTCTGATATTTCCTAAATGTGTGACCATGGACAATTTATTTGACCTCTTTTTGCCTCAGCTTCTCCATCTCTAAAATGGGGATGATAACAGTAGCTATCCCACAGGGTTGTTCTGAGGATTAGGAGCATTTATACTGGAAAGTTCTTGGGACAAACAAGTGTTCAATGGGTTAGTTATTATCACAGTATTATCATCTCAACATAATATATAATGAATAATTTGCTGCTTTGGATACACAAGAGGACAGAGACAACAAGCAAACCCCGCAAAAACTTGGTGAGATTCTAAAGATTGATTCTGAATATAATCAAATCTGAATAGGATCTAATTAATATACACTGATGAATTATGGATCTTCTCTATGATGATAATGAATACAGACAAAGTCGTGTATGAGCCCCAGGAAACCAGGGAAATGTCAGTGTGGGATTTGCTCTTGTCTAAAGGATAGACTAGTAGCTAAATTATAAAAAAGGCCATTTTTCTCCCTTCCCTCGTCCTTCCTACCCCTCTCCTCTCTTCGTTCTACTCCTTGTCCTTTTCCTGTTTGCCTCCTTATTCTCTAAGTGGGTTATTTGAGGATATGCTTTCAAGGGACTACAGTTATCTAACAGATGTGCAAACAAGAAATCCCCATGTAGAGTGAGAAAAACTAAGTACAATATGTTCCTCTAGGGTGGCCATGACAGCAGGAGAAGAGTGAAGGCAGTTAGGGCAGGATTTGCATTGGAGGTAATATTTGGGTGAAATCTCAAAAGACGATGAAGAATTGCACCTTCGATGAAAATGGTGCAGAAAAGAAAGATCGGTTAAATAACCACATCTGTCGAATATGTTGATATCGATTCAAACACGAAGTTGTGTTCTGGTGTGATAATATGACTATCATATCACTCTTGACAAGAAGAAAAAGATTTCAATCATTCTGGATAACTAGGATTGAAGTGATTACACAGTGTCATTCTCAAATTTTAATTCAAAGAGAGATGATGTGTGAGAATATTCCTTGGGAATTTCAAGGCAAACTGGAACGCAACGTATTCCTCTGCTCCTTCTACCACCAATTTCTTAACTTCATCTTCGCGTTTTATCTGCATACAGGCTTTTATTTTTTAAAGGTAATGGTCCCCATTGGAGATTTATAAGCTGGAAAGAGTTAGATCCTCTCCAAAACAGACATGAGGAGTTGAAGTATTGAGGGCGGATTGAGTTTAAGTGCTTTTAGTGTTTATTTGAGTAAAACAGGTCCACTTTTCGTGCGTTTACCTAATGGCATTTCAGAGAAAGAGTAGAAAGTTTATAGCAGAGAGAAATCTTACTTATTGAGGGATTTGTGTGACAGGCAGTCACTGAATCAGACAAAATAAATTAACAAAAATTTAATTAGCTTGTATCATTCTTGTCAAAACTGACAACTAAAACATGGAGGAAAGATCACGTTTTCTCCAGAGAGCGTTTTAATTTTTTTCTTGTCTGAAAAGAAACTTTGACTTATACAACTATTTATAGATTTCACATGGACTGCTGTTTCCTACATTTCAGGAAGATTCAAGAGTTAAGGCACAAACGATTGGGGACTTTCTCCCCACTCCCCCACCCAGGGTCTGTAGAGCCACTTGTCTACTTCTGTGCATTCGAGCTGCAGAGTTTGCCACCTGACCCGGTCTCTCTTTTATGGAATTTCTGAATAAGAACAGATGGACTTGACCTAGTCAAGCTCTATCTACGACTCAGCAGTTACCACAACTTCCACATGCATGGTGGTGCAACGAGCCCACTGGAGGGGACTGGCAAGATGATTCAAGAGCAACTGATCAATCACGTGACTTAGGGATTGTCCATCCTTGGGGCCACTCAGAGAAACTGTCCCCTCCCCTGTCCTCTCCTGTATCACACTGCTGCTATGGTATCTGCAGACCTTGGGGCTGCCTACAGGAAATGGAACTGCGAAAGCCCATAAATGCTGAAACCATCACTGTTGGCCCCAGAAAGAGTCCTCTTCAGAGACTACACCTCTCTCCCATAGTGAGTTTCAGAGACAAAGTTTCTACCTCTACAGGAGCTATCACAGCAGCAGCAGCAGGACCACCCACTCCACCAAGAAGCCCTCCTGCTCCCTTGCTCTCGGCACGCCACTAAGGGAGGAGGTTCTGCGTGGCCCAACAACTCTGCCTACCTCCGCTCTCCCAGAGCTCCTGCCTCTACTTCTCTCCTTGTCCTCACATGAAGCGCTCTCCCTATCCTCTCTTTTGGGTCTCATGCTTCCAACAAAGGGCTTTATGTCGGCGGGTGAGTGGAAATAGGCAGAAACCTACTCATAATGGGGCAGTTATCTCTTTGCCTGTAATGAAGATGAAATCCTAGATCCTCTAGTTGGAATTTTAAAAATGCATTTCCCTATAGGAAAATTACACATGATATTTCTATACGCTTTTATTCTTACAGATCAACAAACATTTACAACTAGTCTGGAGGTCTAGTTTGAAACAGAACGAATTGAGAAGCTAAAATGTTTATTCCTATAGAAACAAACCTATATGTACAGAGTAAGCCTTGTTAGAATATTTTTCCAAACTCCTGAGTATAGGATGTGAGCACAGGGTAAGCTATTTGGCTTAAAGAAAATCATGATAGTAATGATTAGCATTTGCAAAGTGCTTGCATAATGTTAGGCATTGGCTACGTATATTACGTATAGCAACCTCTGGGGCATCAGTTTGGTGGTGATCTTTATTCCACAGATGAGGGAACAGGAGCTTAGAGGAGCAATATAACTTGCCCAGAGTCACACAGTTAGAAAATGGTAGAATATGGATACTTCTCACTCCTATCTTACCTTCTTCCCAGTTCCTGTCTAAGTTATTCATATATGATATCATTCGGACTTAGAGATGAGACATTTAGGAAGAACATCATTGCTTGAACTCCCTATCCTCTACAGGAAAAAAAAAATTACATCTTTTATAATTACTCCATAAATCAATGGTTCCCTACTGGAGGTTCATTTTCCCTGCACACACACCCAGGGGACATTTGACAACGTCTGGAGACATTTTTGGTTATCATAAATGCACCCGGGATGCTACTGTCATCTACTGGGTAGCGGTCATGTACGCTGTTAAACATTCTGCAGTGCACAGGACAGCCTTCCACAACAAACAACCATCCCATCCAAATGCCAATAGTGATGTGATTTTGAAACCCTGGCATCACTGAAAGTATTACATCATATTCAAGACATAAAACCTGGAGAAAACATTCAGGTTTTAAATGAATTATTTATTATTATGTTCTTATGCTATTTATTACACCAAATCCATCATGAATGTAAAGCTTATTTTATGTGTTTTCTTATTGTATACACAGTTTGGCACCAACCTGCCTGTTAATTAGCTTTGCCTTCCAAGAGATACCATTAACCCCTCAGGGAAAGGCCCAAATATTCAAGTTGTTTGTGTCCATCATGAGTCTATCACAGGCTCAGAAGGTCCCTAACCTGCAGTTCTGTTTGCAAACAAACCTTATTTGCAATCAGAGGCAAATCAGACATGGTTTGTAAAGTGGCGAGGGGATTTTGGAAACCGTGTCTTTTGGCAAATGCTACTGGGTAGAAAAACATCTCCTTTACATAGTAGGGAGTAGGCTTCCAGGAGGGTAGGCTGTGCAACAGGAAGGGAATAGTGTTTTTACAGAAAGTCCTAGAAACACAGACGGTATTATATTTTTTAATATCGAAATTACCGATTTTATAGGCAGGAGTAATAATTTTCAGCCTAAGAATGCACCTAGAATACGTATTTTCTCTAACAAAATGACATATGCTCTCTCCTACTTTCTCTTCTCGCACTGTTTTTTTTTCTCTTCTCCCCATTATGGAGAAATATTGAGCGAACATTTACTTAGCAATTAGGACTGCATGGCAAAACTTTCAAAGCTGTGCTGGGCAGAGAGTCAAAACCTACATTTGGTGGCGAGGTTTTAAGTGCCCACAATGAACAGGAGTCTGTATAGTTTTCCTGTCCCTCACTGGGTGGCTTTAATGCCATTTCTAGAAACAAAAGGATGACTATGGGGGATTAGCTGGTGGAACCTGTCTGGGAGAATTTTGCTCTCAGATTTTATTAGAATTCCCATTATTTTTGGTCAGTCATCACTACCATTATTTAAAGATGCCCCCACTTGGGTGGTGATTACGTGGAAAACAGCAGCCAATGCCAAATAAACTCAAAACCCTGGTGTATTGCTAGACAGTGATCACTGCTTCAGAGATTTCTTTACTCCACTTTAATCTTCACTTTCACCCTGAACAAGAGAGTAAACTGGAGTGACCTTAGTATTTTTGTTTTTCTGTTTGTCAATGGCTTGACTCTCTTCCTGACCTGCATGTGTTTTATCTACTTTGTGCCTTAACCACTGAGGATGCTTAATCTTGGGTTGTTTTTGTTTATTTAAAAAATGCCTGGCTTCATCACTTAAAAATTATGTGTTCTAGAAATGCAAATTAATTCTGAAGGAGGCATAGGTAGCCAGTCCCCAGACAAAACTTGAAGTGAGTAAAGTTTCATTTGATATTTCTTCACGACTGCCAATTCACGCCATTGGTCTTCGAGGCTGGTGTGATCCTGACCTACAAAGAATCATCTATTCGAACTTCTCAATTAATAGGTGAGGACACTGAGTCTAGAAATTAGCAGCAGGCCTGAGATTAAATTTCAAGTTCCCTGACTCCTCCAGAGCCACTTCTTAGGGGTGCATTTGAAAATATTCATTCATTAGGTAGGAGGTCCTTTTGAGTCTAAGAAATTTTGACTCTGGTAAATGACTTCTGGCCTCCTTCTCCCTCTGCAAAGTTCACACTCCTGAATTGATCAGCTCTTGGCTGCTGTCATGCTGAAAAACAACAGCCTATAGGAATCCACTTTTTCTTACATATGCCTGAAAACACCTCGTTTATTCATCTACTCTTAACTCCATTTGTATTTTGTGCCAGGCCGTAGCAATAAAGCAAGGAACGAAACAAGCATCCAAGACTTCACAGAGCTTACGTTTTTAGTTCACTTTAAAAAGGTAACTCCTTAAAACTGTCAAATCCAGAGCCCACGTGACTGCCCCTCTAATGGTGGAATTTGAGGCACAGAGAGATGGTACATATTTTTAAGGTAGGGGGTTTAGCCTCCTAGGGCAGCTAACAGAGTCCCCCACGCCTGCGGGGCTTTCCCACCAGCCCCAGAGCTCTGGGGGCCATCTGATCGACTCCAGGAGCAGGATGGAGGAGGCAGCAACACCATGTGGGTCACCAAACACATTTCTAAGTGCAAATGGGTCTGTTTTCTTCTCTTTTCTATCAGCCATCACAGACATTCAGAGTGTAAAGTTCTAAAAGTCCAAGAAATAGTGACCATGCCCAACATCTTGTCCGATTTGCAAACTTCTTTGCCTCATCCCTTTTCCGCTTGCTCCTTCCCCCCTGCTTTAAATTTTAATGTTCTTGGTTTAGCTCCCCCTATTTTCAAGGAGAGGATAGAAGGGATCTGTCAGAAAGATGACTCTATGCTTGTGGATCACTGAGAAATGAACAGACCTTTTTTCAATGCCTCAAATTTGATTGTAAGAAAATAAATGTTTTTTATTTTGTTTCAGATTTTTCTGCTGCTGTCAGGAGTATATTTGATTTTATTTATATTTATTTGCATCTATATTTTATTTAAAGTGAACAAGATGATTTCAGCTTCAAACTTCTTGAAGAATCTGTAGATAGCCCACAATTAGTAGACCACATTGTGTCACATAAACTAGCTGTTTTATCACATATTTGAGGCAGAAAATAAAGCGGGGAGGGGGGGAAAAAGGGAGGGAAAAATATGAGCATAATCCACCCACATCCTACACAATGTGCAAGCCACACACCACACTGTGAAACTCACTGGCATGTTAATCTCTCTGATAAGGTCTTTATAAATTCTAACCTGAATCAAGGTCTTTAATAACAAAAGTATCTCAAAATGTTCCCAATACCATGTATCTGAATACGTTTCCAGCTGCTTATAGCACTTGGTGTAACATAGTTGCCATTGTGAGCCCCCGTTCTCTCAAGGCTGTTTCTGGAAGAACAGAAAGTGCACACAATTCAGAAGTAACCCACCTCAAGAGATTCCAGAACTTGCAGGCAGCTGTTGCTTTTAACTGTCTAACATTTTGAAACTCAGAAGAACAGTCTGTTAACGCAGATATTTACCATTTTTGCTGCGCTTCATTCCTGATGTTTCAAGTCCCGCCTCTGAGTTTCCAGCCACTTTTAGTAGCTTCTGCTCTCAGGGAGTGTAAATGCCGGATAAAATTTGTCCACATGGGATAGTTGAAGACGTGTCCTTCTAAGAACAGGGATGGAGACAAATCAGGTTTACTTCACTTGAGAGAAACACAAACTTCTGATTATCTCTATAGTCATTTTTGTTGTGTTCTTCAAATCTTGTTTGCTTGTTTATTTTCAGCTTAAAATAAAGGCAAGGACGCTTCTATTTCCAGTGCCTGGATTCCTGCCTTGGATTTAATAAATATTTGCTAAATGAATGAATATACGAATGATACATAAAATGACCTTAATTTTTGGTGACAATAGCTAATTTACCCACAGTTTAAGGTTTATTGTCCTAGTCACTTCTTATGTATGGAATTAGCACCTGTAGTGACTGGAAAAATGGGAAATAACCTTTATCCTACCATTTTGCCTTAAGATGGCTCAATTGCTACATAATAAAGAACTTTTAAGGCCTAGTCAACAAATCAAAGTTATTAATGTTTTTGATAATTTGGCAGATTTTTACCCACACTTTCTGTCTTTTATCAATGATACAATTATACGAAAATATGTATATAATATTTATTTAACATTTCCTTCCATGTAAGCGATTGAAAATTTAGAAAATAATTAAATACAAAGTTAAATATTTAAATAGTTTTATATAATTTGAGTTAACAATTCAAATACGACTGTCAGAGTTCTGAATATAATAAAATAACATTCTGGGGAAAAAAATGCATTTAAAACTTAATTGTAGAGCTGGCTTATGTTCTCTTTTCAAACATGAGTTTCTCCGTAAGATTAAAACAAAACGTTTGCTTTAATTTTCACAGGAAATGGTACTAGAATGCTATGAACATTTCAATTTTGTTATAAATTACATCTCTTTATTTTCCTTCGATTTAAATGGTTGATAGTCAGTTTATATATCAACTTTGAATTGTATGATGTGATGGTCAGTTTTATACGGTCTCCGCTGATTCACTTGCACACTGACCCAGGTGTTGCTGTGAAGGTATCTAGCAGATGTGATTAAAGTCCACAAGCAGCTGACTTTAAGTAAGAGGGATTATCCTAGATAATATGAGTGGGCCTGATTCAATCAGTTGAAAGTCCCTAAGAGCAGGCTGAGATTTCCCAGAAGATGAAAAATTCTGCTTGTGGATTTTAGCTGCAGTTTGTACCTGAGAGTTCAGCCTATCGTTCCTGATGGACTGCCGCATTGACTTCAGACTTGCTTAGCCATTCCCCATAACCCTGTGAGCTAATTCCTTGCAATAAGTCCCCGATTATATGCCTTCTTGTGGTTCTATTTTTCTGGTGAAATCCTGACTGATACACATGAAGGTTATAAAGATGCCCTATTATACCTTCGGGTTAATTTTTAAAAAATAATAATTTTTTTTTTAGCTCTAATTTTCTCTATTCCTAAAAGTCAAACATACACAGTACTTAACTTCTTAAAATGCACTTAGTTTAAAAGGAACCCTAGAGTTAATTCTGTAGCAACATGAATAATTGCCACGTAAATCATTTGCCTTCTAGGCCTGGGTTTTTTTATCTACTACAGCAGGTGCACTGGTTGTCTATTTCTGCATAGCTTATTACCCCAAAACTTAGTCACCTAAAACAACACACATTTCTTATGTCACAGTTCCTGTGGATCAGGAATTCAGGCGTGGCCAGCTGAGTTCTGTGCTTCAGGTTCATCAGCAGCAATCAAAGTATCAGCGAGGGCTGTGGTCTCATCTCAAGGCTAAACTGGGGAAGAGCCACTTCCAAGCTCACAGTTTGCTGGCAGGATTCAGTTCCTCACTGGTTGCTGGATGGGAGGCCTCAGTTCCTTGCTGGCTTTTTTGATAGACTCTGTCCTCAGTTCTATGCCATGTGGGCCAGGAAGCTTGTTTCATCAAAGCCATCAAGAAAGGGAAAGTCCCCATCCTTTTATAACATAATCACAGTGGTGACATTCTACCCATTCTGCCTATTCTGTCCATTAGAAGCAAGTGTCTAGGTCAAACCCACACTAAAGGGGAGAGGATTACAAAGGATGTAAATAACAGGAGATGGGACGATTAGGAACCACATTAGAAGCCTGCTTACCACATCACGTTTTCTAAAAATAAGGTGCATTTGAATACTACATATTGCAGGAAGCCCCAAAATGTGCAATGACAGCAAAGAGAAGCCAGTCTTTGAGAAGAAGAAGGTATCACAGTCCAGGACATGAACTTTAAATTTCCCCAAATGCTTATATCTTTAGCCGTGGGAAGAGAAAACAGAGATCTCAAAATGTATGTTTCACTGCCCAAGTCTCTCAGCCCTCTCCACATTCCTCTGTCATTCTTAAAGACACAACAATAAAAAATAACCCAATGTCGGTGGTTGAAGCCAGAGCCAAAAACTATATTTAAATGATTGTACCCACACTAGGCAAGCACTTCAGCAGTGTAAAGTAAGAGATGAGAGAAGGAGGATCAAGGAGGTGGAAATCTGGATAAATATACAGTAACTCTAGCTAATTAATAAAGCCAAGTAGTGTGTGTTGGCTAAAGGAAAAGTGTTAGGATGATGAGGAGGAACCAAACCAGATGGGGTCTGGATATATTTGCTCCGGGCCCGTGGCTGTTGCCTAAGCACTATTTCAAAAGGTGCCAACATCAGAGAATTCCTCAGGGGAAATTCTTGTGCTGGGAAGAAGGCTGTCTTATTGTTTATGAAGAACGCCTTCATATTTCAGGTCACAACACAGCAGTTCTGATGAAACTGGTTTGCAGAATTTAATCCCTGTCAACCCACTTCCTTCTTGGAATTACAGAGTCTCAAAGTTACAAGGAAATCTAAATATCATGTAATTCAACTCCAACCTAGTGCTAGATTCTTTTCTTCCATGTTGATTAAAGGTCATCTGTATCTTCTTGAGTCCTATAGAGATAGTCACTGAGTCAGTCTTTTCAATATTAGAGCTGTCTAGTTGATGTACTATTTATTTCATGTTGAGTTGAAATTTCCCTCTCGCACGCCCCTGTCAGATCTATTACTTAGTTCCAGCCTGGCTCTCAAAGGCAGCACAAAACCAGACTATTCCTTATTCCATGTTATGGACGACCAAATAGCACAAATAATTCTATAAATTTTTCAGTCTTCCTCTACAACCCGCATGTCTCCCATGATACACCTGATTTTCTTCAGCGAGTCTTTGTATGTTACAACTTCCCACAACTCTCCCTTCTCTCATAGGATGTTCCTCTTAACAAGTTCTAATTTGTTAAGCTTCATCTTAAAACATGAGTACCTGATTTGGAGACATCGCTCCTAGATATGAAAATCGGTAGAGAGCTCTTCTTTTTATTTATTTTGGTGAGGCTGATTGACTGACCCTGAGCTAACATCTATTGCCAATCTTCCTCTTTTTGCTTGAGGAAGATTGTCGCTGAGCTAACATCTGTGCCAATCTTCCTCTATCTTTTATGTGGGATGCTCCCACAGCATGGCTTGATGAGCAGTGTGTAGATCTGTGCCCAGGATCCAAGCCCGAAAACCTGGGGCCACCGAAGCAGAGCCAGTGGACTTTACTACTCTATCACTGGGCCGGCCCCCAAAAGCTCTTCTTATGAGCTGTAAATAATAATCAATGTTAGAATTTGGGGTAGCAAATATTATATTGTTGATTCATTTAAATTTCTGGATAATGAAAATTCTCCTTAAACAATTTTTCTTTGTTCCTTTTTTTTTTTAACAGACTATGAAGTAGGAAAACGAGACAAGAGAATGAACTTACATTTATTATTTTCTAATATGCATTGGGCTCCCTTCTGGGGCTTCATATGCATTATCTTATTTTATACTTCCTCCAAGTTGGGAAAATAGCTATAATTTCCGTCCTACAGATGAGGAAACTGAGGCTCAAGGAATTTAAGCAGGTTAATCACAATTACAGAGCCGCTGAACACTAGATCTTGGATTCATATCGGTTGAATACAAACCATGTGCTTTTCCCCCAATACGCAAAGCCAAAGAAGCTTCACTCATAATTTAGAGGCTTAAGGCTTTCAAGGATCTATTCAAAGCCTCGTCATATTACAGGTAAAGGGATTTACATTATCTCTCAAGATCTAATTTGTCTAAATTGCCCTAACTTAATAAACCAGGTTCTCTTCAGAGTGCTCTTTCCATCACATCATGATTGTGTAATTGATTAAAAGAGTAAACTACTTTGGATTTATCTCCATGTGACTTAATCTTGTAAGTTTTGACTCATCATTCTTGGTGGATGAGCTTGTATTAAATCTTTGGGTCGTCATGGTGTTAAATGCCCCTCCTAGATTTGTGTTATCAGCAAATTGGATAATATGCTGCTGTGGCAAATAGACACACATATACACACACATAACACATTTATTTATTTAGTTCATTCAAATCAACAATAAAACTATTGAAAAGTCAGAACTAAGAGAAAGGCCCTGTGACAGATTTAGAGAATTCCTTACAGAGTGGTAAAAAGTTCTTAATCAGTACTTTCGAGATATCACTTTTCAATCAGGTTTGACTACACTTAACAACAACCAGCTCCTGGTACCCTATTTATGCCTATCTACAACAACAATGGCTAAGACATTGCCAGAGTCAGTACAAATTATGTAACCATTAGTTTCTTCAGACCACACCAGCCTAGGGATATGAATTGGGTCACATTTACATAAAAATCTTGTATGCCCTCCTACATACTATGTGACCTGTGGTCCCTGCAAAGCCCTGTCTAATATCCAGCAAATTCTCTCTAATTCTTTCCAGGAATCCTTAGGGGTGATCTCAGCTGCTCTCAGGTGTGAATGATCTGAGCTGTTTCAAGTTAAGCCATCTTGTTCCTCTCCCCCTGGCCCAGACCCTTCAAGGTATGTGCTGCCCAGGCGTCTGGGGTTTGCTAAGCTGCATCACGATGCAACCCATTAACACGGCACCTGTGCCCACAGACACTTCTGCACTTTTTCCTGAAGTTGCTTTAAGGTCCAAAAGCCACCTCAGAGACACCACCTGCCAATAATGCTGATACTTCTGATGGATCAGCTTCTTCAACACAAAGATGGAACTACTGCTCAAGACCACCCTGGAGCTCAAGGCACTGCTGATGTACAGGGTGTATACACATACTCAAATTCATCTGTAATCTCTGAGTCTCCCAATACGTAACTAACAAACCGTGCTTGGCCCTAAAGTAGGAAGACTCCACTCTTGTCTCTTTGTGTTACGCCATACACAGGTTTCAGTGTAGCAGTGTTATGTTTCCCACATTTCTCAAGGACTTTATGAAAAGAACCCTTTCAAGTTCTTCCATCTTTAAGCCCTCAGAGTTGCATATACAGTAACTATAACCAGTTAACAAATAACATTTGGAGTTAAAAGTTGACCTTCTCCTTCAGAAGACCCCAAATGTGGCTTAGAATCTTCCATTAAGAAAAAAGACTTTCCCAGAAGGTTCCCTTCAGCAGAGCCTCCTTTGCGCATGGACATGCCCAGGCATGTCTGCATCCCATTGATGGTTATAGCTCAGCCTAAGGCTAAGAGCCTACTGGATTTACTTTTAAGGCTGTAATGGAGTGTTCCAAGACTTGACCTTGATGTTTTTTGAAACCTGGATTATTGGAAAAGAGGGAAAAAATGCTATTCACTTTTGTTCCTAACTTTCCTATCAGTGGATAAAGGGTCGATAGTGGAATTTGACTAAGGCTTACCCTTCAGTGTGGGGGGACCACTGGAGAAGCTTTTGAATCACTCAGATTTGTACATACTCAAGAATCTACTCACTGAATCGTTAAATAAAACTATAGATGCTTTCAATTGTGATACTAATTATTTTGTTTAATAATGGAAAAGGGAACTTTCATTGGAATGATTTACATCTTACATGAAGTGATCAATTGATCACTTCAGCTCGAGGCTTTGGATGGAGGTGGGGAGGTTCCTGTGAGAGACAACTCTCATGCTGAGCAGGTGAGTGTACTGTCATGATGTCGGGGCCAACCAGAGGCAAATGTGAGAGGAGCTCAGGAGCAGACTTCCTGTGAAGTGGCATGGTGAGAAATATTTTCACATTTTCCTCTTTTTTTGGCATTGTGATTTTCTTACGGCAGACTGAAACTTTATTAATTTCCTGTTATGTGGGACAGCCCGTTTAGCTGTGCTTTGGAAAGTAAAATTGTGGGGAAGCATCCAAAGAGAGTGGCAGTTGCATGGAATACTGTCGAGACGGCTGTTGGCTGGGAAGCCTAGGACAGAAGTCTGGAGTCAAAGGTGAAAGACAACCATCAGGACACATAAGCAGCTTTTAGGGACCCTCTGCAGTTCTTTCAAAGGCCCTGGACACGCTGAGGTCATAGAGGATGAGGTCTCAGATTTTTGTTTATTTGTTAAAAGAAAGCGTGACCCAGGAAGGCAGAAAACTTAGTGAAAGTTGAGTAGTAAAAATTTTCCATTATTTACTACTTTTGGGATATTATCGAAATAGCAAATCAGTTTAGTCTGGCATGGCAAGAACTGAATTGACTCTCTGTCCAGACATTTCTCTCATGATGACTGATTCATTTTTACCCATATTTTGTGCCTTTATAATTGATGTCACATCTATTTCCAAAGAAGATGTAAAAGGTGTATAATTAAAAGCGTGTATACAATAGAATAGTAAAACTACAGAAACAATTAATGAACAGCAATGGGAAATATAGCCTTTCTCCAAATAAAGAAATCATTGCTCTTGAGCTTGAATTTCATCACCGTGACAGCTAAAACAAAAAAGAGAAGCATTACATAGCATGTACTTGTTACATACCAGATAACTCTCCAGGAGACAGACCTTGCTTTGTAGCACTAAACCAATGAAGAACCTGTCATAGTAGAAATTATTGAATAATGACATGGGCAGATTATCTATCATCTATCTATCTATACAGAGATATATATGTATATATATATAGATATATTTGCAGATATATAATATATATAATATGTATATATAAATAAAATTACAACAGGGCACTTTTCTAAGATCTAAAGTATTATAGGGAAGCAAGCAGGTTTTTTATTGTCTGTTTTGATATCTAGAAATCTACAATATAGAAGATAGATACACCCCTTACGTGAAGTTTCTAGAAGGGCTTTTAAACTGAGGTTTCTGAAGCTCGCTCCAGATACACTGAATCTGGTGCTCTGGGGGCAGAAGATTCAAGAATGAGGTCGGTGAAGAGTCCCCGCCTGATTCTGACAGTCTATGAGTAGGCAAGAGACTGGGACCGCTGCCTCGGATTATTGCTCTCAAACATCAATTGCCTTTACCTAAATTTTGACCAGATATGAATAAATAATGACCAAGCACTGAGGTCAAGATACTATGGGAGTGTTTAATAATTCTTTATAAAGTAGCCCTTCCTACAGCACTCTCCGACAGTAGGTACCCACTAGATAGTGACTACTTTACTAAATGCCCCATTAAGAAGTCACTGAGATAAGGTAAATATAAAATGGGCTGAAGCCCACTTTTCTTCCTCCTGCACCATCAGCGTCACCACCACCACCAAGAAAAAAAAACCTAAGAAAATGCCTTCAGTGTATACTCATGACATAACGTCCTTTTTATCCTCTCTTCACTGGAGCAGGCAGCTTTAGCTTCTTTAGACATAGCCAAAGATGTTATATGTTGAGGCTGCTGGCTGGTCCTGTGCTCACCAGATCCTCAAGTTGATTCATGGCTATCCTTTGAGCTGGTTTCAGCTTATGGGTATTGTGACTTCATTGCCTCTCCAAAGCTTCTACATTCATCATTCTGAGTGCAACCCAGGTGTCAGCAAGATCAGACAACGTTTGTGGCTTCAGCTAAGGTTAAAGAGAGGCAAAGATTCTTACAGGTGATGATGCCAGAGAATGAATCAATAGTCAAATTCAACCCAAGTTCCAGCTTGTTAGGACAGTACATGGTTCAGCTGTGCTTTATTCCCCAGGAGATTTTTCAGAGGAAGCTCATTAGTCCAGGTGCCCAATCGCTGCAGTGCAATTTTAAAATGTATTTAGTTTGGAACATATGTTTTGTTCTTCAAGAGGTCAAAAGGGATTTATAATTGTCTTTGCACCTCTGGATAAGCCAGAATACAGTGAAAGGGGTCAGCTGAGGTACCTTCCAGACAAATTCAAGTGCACATTCTACAATCAGAACATTATGCCCTGAGCAGCCTCATCATCAAATTTTAAGATCAGACACAGGCTCTGAAACAGACAATATTGTCTGGCCTTTGTTTGGGTGATTTACCTGTGAATCAGCCTAGTACTTGGAAAGAGGATACCTTGATAAGTAGAAATATATCATGTGGACATTCATGTCTGAGGCTTACAATGGGCAAGGAAACATGTCTCTGATTCGGTTTAACATAGTATGCCAAACATTAGTCTAGAATTCACTAAGGTAGAACTTGATTTCCATCTAGGAAGGTACTTAGAAAGACTTTATTTTGTAGAAAGACAAATCAGGAAAACGCTTTGTACATTAGAATTAAGATTCTAAGTTTGGACACAATAACTAAATTGTTAAAATAAATCCAGTGATTCAAGCAATATTTATTGAAAGTCTGCTGTGACCCAGATGTCATGCTAGGGACTAGAGATAGCAGCTAGAATAAAATAAATATAACCCTAACCTTCCTGGAGATTTAACCTCATAAATAGACATATGTAAAACAAGGTCATTATAATATAGTATGAAAATGTTCTAATAAGAGGAGTTTTAAGATGCTAAATTAAGATCATATAAGAGGGTTGTCCAAATCAGACGTGAGAAGTTATGGAAGGTTAAACCTAGAGTTTTGAGTTGGAGTTAGCCTGGTGAAGTATAGGATTGGGGAAGAAAGAGGGAAGATGGAAAGGACAAAGAAAGTGTGAACAGTATTTACAAATGCTGGAAGTCAAGAGAAAGTCTGGGGTGAGAGAACCTGTAGGAACATAAGGGAATCAACACCTGATTGGATTTTGAGATAAGGGTGAGAATGAGGGTAGAAGGCTATTCAATGATGATATTGAGTTTCTGGCTTGGAAGAATGGTGAAAGTTTGATGATAAAGATGGCAGACTTGATTTTAAACAAATTGAATTTGAGGTTTTTGTTTGAGATCCAAGTGGATGTGTCCAATAATTTCTTGGCTATATGGGTCTTAATCTTGGGGAAAAGATGAAGGTTAAATCTCATATATAGATCTGGAAATGATAAACACCAACATGCTATTTGGCGTGTGTGGTTTGATGATATTGTGTAGAGCAAGAAGAAAAAGAAAGTAGAGAATTTAGAGTCAAACAACATGAAAAGAAAAAGCAGAGGAAATAAAGGTTGTAAAAGGATTGCTGTTGGCCGGACCTTTAGACTTCTCAGCAGAAAATGACTTCTGATATGGTTGAAGTTATTTAAAATTACCTACAATTGCGCAAAGTATTTCCCTTTCATCACCATCATTGCCCCTCTCTCTCTCTCTCCTCTCTTTTCTCTCTGCTCTCAGTCTCATTTTGACCTCCTTCCTACCTCTCCCTTCCTTCCTCTTTCCATTCTCTTTTCATATGTATTTAGTATTTGTCTAGTAAAATTAAAGTTGAAATGTGGATGAAGCCTGAAAAAAAGAACTGTGCAATGTATCATCTTATATGGAAATAGTTATTCTAAGAACAATAGGATCTAATAATAAACTTTCTTACTCTCTCCAATTTTATAAATCATGGCTATTCCTTGGTATATGTTTTCTATTAATAAAAAAAAGCCATCATAGATACCTGGATCAATTAATTAGATTATATATAACTAACCATTTCCACCCTTTTCTAAAGCAAATTTAATGATAAAGTTTCATTGTTAGGTATGTCTGTATTCTGCATGTTTTCTTTTTGTCCCTCCAGATTCACTATACGCTTTTCTTGTTCCTGCCCTTTGACTTATGAGGCTTACTTTTATAGACTACATCACCCAAGCTCCCTTGCCCCTTGCTTCAAGTTGGGTTTGACCAAGGGGAGGTGCTGGCAAGAGATGGGATGGTAGGATTAAAGTGAGACGGTTAATTCGCCAGCTCCCTTTCTGCTGGTCACCAGTTTTCAGTAGCTGTATTTCCCCACCTAAGGCTGTATCTCCCATTGTATCACTCTTTTCCAATAGCCCTAAGTCTCTCCACGTAAATACGTGCACCACCGTTGTTCCTTCAGTCTTAGCAATGGTAGTGGATCTTTGCTCTTACTAGCTGTGGGGGGCTTATCATCCACTTTTGGTTTCCATTAAACCTTTGTAAATAGTGTCTTCATTGAACTCTTCTCAGTTATCCCATTGAAATATCTCATCTATTTGCTTCTGGTACCCTGATGGATAGAATCCATATTGGACTGTTGGTTATTTAAGGATAAGAATCATACTTTATATATTTTTTTATTTTGAGGAAGATTAGCCCTGAGCTAACTGCTGCCAATCCTCCTCTTTTTGCTGAAGAAGACTGGCCCTGAGCTAGCATCCATGCCCATCTTCCTCCACTTCATATGTGGGACACCAACCACAGCATGGCTTGCCAAGTGGTGCCATGTTGGCACCTGGGATCCGAACTGGCAAACCCAGGGTTGCCGAAGCAGAACATGTGAACTTTATCCACTGTCCCAGGGGGCCATCCCCCATTTTACCTTTATTTCCTTAGTGCCTTGAAAAGGACTAGTGCCTTAAAAGAGGGGTATATAAAGTATTTTAAAAGCTTCACTGGAAGAATGAATATGTGAATGAATACCACTTTTAGGATGAGTTAAGCAGAGACAACATAAAGAGGTAAAACAACTTCCTTTCTTCCTTGAAAATGTGTGGTCTGACCCCAATATACTTGGCACTATAGACAGAAGGATCCAAACTGGTGGCTGTTTCTCCTCTTAAAGAATTCAAATAAAACATCCAGATTGCAATAGCACCAAATGTGACATGATGCCCTACATATTGATGTGCACACAGAAACGTCAGATGGAAAAACCTTGGAGACTCAGGAGGCCATGTTCGAAAGGAATGTAAGCCACAGGACTCCTTCCTTGAGAAGTTAACTCCCCAATTTGAGATTAGCTCCTGTGGTTTGGCTGGTTCCATGGTAGATGTTTAGCAAGCAATAACAGACATTTCCCTTTCTTCCCCAGGCAATACAGTGCCCAAACCAAAAAAGTATTGTTCTATCTAGAAAACAAAATAAAACACAACAAAATGGCACAAGCCCACAATGGAGCGTGTTGATGCAGTATTTTCCAGTGAGAATCTTAAGGATTAAGCAGCAGTATGGCCAGATTAGTGTTTCCTTTTCATGACCTTCTGGCTGTACACAAAGTAAAATGTCAACACACAATGAGCTGGTTTACTAAAGGAGTTGCACACTAGAATAGATTTCTCTGCAGTGTGGGAGGGGGAGGGGAGAGCTATATTGACGTGCCAACTGAACTGACCTTTTCCAATTGTGTTGCGAGAAAAGCCACAGAGAGTGGTTGGGTTACTAAGTCTAAAAGGAAATGGCAGTGATGAATGGGCAAAGAACTTCAGGGGAGAGAGGGTATATGTGTGAAGTACTCATATATTGGTCTGCTGTCCTTTTATAATAACGCTCCCGCTGTTCCCATGCTTGCTACTACTGCTACTGCTCCGACTCTAGTCACTGCTACTATCACCATCACTGTCAACAACGCTTTCATGACCACCACAATCAAAACTAACAGTCATGACAAGTCTCCTGGCTATGCTCCTTCTGTGCCGCTCCATGAGGAAGTGTGCAATACAACAGTGGATCCTTCTTCAGGTTAAAATACTTACCACAATGCCACACTCTCTCACTGCATGACCAAAGAGTTTAGCAAGCGTTGTGCTCATCACCTGTCATGAATCCAGACTTTAGTCCTTAA